TGACTTAGACTGGTGAAGGGGTTATTCTGCATCATGCAGAAGGAATTTTGAAGGGGATGAGAATTCATTATTCTCTTCTGCTGCCTGGGGGGCAAGCTGGGCATTGATTGGCGGGTAGCGAGCAATTGCATGTGTGTGACTTGTTATGTATATTCATACATATATATATATACACATACATACATATCGTCATAACTATTAATCTTTTCTTTTTCTCTATCATAATAAATAGTTTTATATCAACCCATGAGTACTACTGTGAGTTTCTTTCTTTCCAGTTTTCTCCCCCATCCCACTGGGAAGGGGAGAGTGAGCAAAATGACTGTGTGGTGCTGAGCCACCTGCCGGCTTAAGCCACATCACCGGGGAAATGCTTACTCACATCACTCCAGTGAGGAACCTGCAGAGCAGAGACAGCTCACAGCCCAGTGTTCCCCACAGCATCAGCCCCACAATGAAGAAATTTACACCCAGTGGTGAGCTCCAGATGTTCTCAGCATCCTGGCAGAGCTGAAACGCAGCTGCTCGGTTGCTGCTTTCCCTCCAGTGTGCACATCCCTGCCGTGAAGCAGCAGGAAGGAGAAAATGTGCTGTTTTTCCTCCTTGTCTTTTCCTTTTAAAGTGAATGTCAAGAAAAATGGCTGAAAAACTTACAAGCAGCTGTACTATCAGAAATTATTTGTAGTTCATTAAAAGAAAAAAGTCCTTTAAAAATTACTGCAGCAGAATGGAGATGAGAGCTTCTATTACCTCCTGTGCGTTATTTAGTACCTGTGGTTCACTACATTCATAAAAATATGCACATGCTCAGTTTTCAGGTTTAAAAGTATTTTGTCATTTTGTTTGGTAAGCTAAAAAAGGGGTTTTGTTTGACCTGTGATTTTCAATCCTGCTGGTTTTTTTAATATACAGTGATTCATACACAGCAGCCTGCAGAGTTGTTCTCATTCCATTTGCAGCGATGTTATACCACTGATTGCAGCAAAAACCCTATAGGAAACCAAGCGCTGTGTGCTGCTTTCAGACCAGCTCCAGACCAACTCCTGCTCACCAGAGTTATGCTGCTCTCTGCAATTATTCCCACCAAAATTATGGAGTTGAGCACAGAGAGAAACACTTCACATATGTAAAACTGCCAGAATCTGGCTTTTAGAGACACTGCAAGTCTCATATTATTTTCAAGTTTAGTAATAAACTATTGTTTTTTAATGAAAATTGGAGCTGAGGCTGAGGACTTCCTGTCTCAAAATTGTATGGTTTTCAGTGAGATGTTGTCATTATGATACTGTCATTATTCTATGATTATCTTGGCTCCTTTGCAATAGATAGAAACACAGTTTTAGTGAGCACAGACTTGTAACTTTTTGACCAATGTTGATGTTATCTACCTTAGAATAAAACAACGAAGGAGATTTTAAGGGTATTGAAGTTGGAAATTTCATTTCCTTTTCCAGCTAAGACTGCATCATATATCATTACCAAATGTTGAGCCTGATCCTTGTACCTAACTCAGCATACATTTTCTCCCCTGGAAGATAATACCATTGAGTTGAGAACATGAATAACAGTAAGCACATGGGCCCACAAGTACAAGGAAAGATCTGTGCTCACTGGTGGTAACAGCAATTACTGCTGCAATTGTGCAGCCCTTGTGTAGACAAAATTGCCCATTGACTTGTGGAAATACAAGATCAGACACACAGTACGTGATTGTCCTCAGCAGCATTACAGGCAGTGATAGCAGAAGGACAGCCTTCTGTTAGGTCTGTGTGAGGATTAAGGGGGTGTGTCTTGCAGTGGACTGGCACTGGGGATTCCAGGAATTCTCATTTTTGTCTTCCAAGACTCATTTCATGAGTAAATTAGATGTCATTGGTCTGACAACATGAGAGTCTGTGGATGCAGATAATGCAAATATAATACCATTTTCTCAAATAAATGTCTGTTGTTTCATTTGTTGTTATTGTCGTGGTTGCTTCAGTAAAAAACTCAGCAATGAAAATACAGGTGTCATGCTACACAAAATTCTCAGGCTCACCCTGTCAGGAATTGTGGATATTACCAGGGGCTGCAGCTCCTCTTTTTCTAAAGTGAGATGTTACGTGGGGAGAAAGAGATCACATAGTCTACTTTCTCTTATTCTGCTCAGTTACCTCTAGAGACTAGCACTGACTTTGGAAATGAAAGGCTGTTTTTGCTGCAACAAGGTTGATGTCAATACCACTCTCAGGGATGTCCAAAACCGAACAAAATACCCTCTCCCCTTTTGCATTAGCCTTTCTCAGAAATTACGAGCAAAAGCTTTCAGAAGAGAATATGTAGAAAAGAAGAACATTTGTACTGTCCCAATAAAATGAATGGATAACCTTGCTGAAAACAATTTTTTTTCCTAGTAGTGGGGAAGAATTCTCAGGAAAATACCTTGAAATTGTTCTGTTTTTAACAGGAGTGATTCAACTTTATTTTGTAGGTAGAATAAATCACTGGGAGAAGTACTAAAATAAAAGCATGGTCATGTATTTAAAATCAAATCAAAGCTAGTGTATGTTGTTCAAAACAGTGGAAAACCATATAAGTTTTCAAGTCTTGGATTAAATCATTTATTGCCAAAGTAGAAATCCAAGATTTCTATAATTAATTTTACATGAGTGGTAGCTGCTTAATGGATTTGTGGTAAAAGTAAGTTCCTGGTAAAGTCAGTGGAGGGAGGTGGGTATCCATGCTTTTCTCCAGCAGATTTTATCTCCTTAACTTTAGTGCTCAGAAGTAGATATGAGAAGTTTCCTTCAGTAGTTTTTTCTTTGGTGACAAAGACTTATGAAATTAAAGCCTAGGAGATGGTAAATTTTCCAGTTTTACCATAAATTTTTATCAGATTTCACTAGTCCAAAGCTCTTGTTGGTTTTACCTCTCAGCAGTTAACATCGATGGTAGAGCACCTTGGGCCAAGTCTATACAAGTTGCTAGAGCAAATGTTCTCCGTCATCACCGTTGCCAATGTAGTGCATTGCACAAGCCAGTGGATGTTTCCAGTTCACAGTTTAGTCACAGTTACCCTGATTTTTGCAGAGGGAAAAGTATTCAGACATGCTTTGTGACACTTTGCTGCAGGGCTACAAGCAGTCTTTGTTTCATTCAGTAGTTCAGACGTATGAGACAAAAAATTCTGGGGTTCTGTTGCTTTTGACAGCAGAAAAGAGGGGGGAAATATTGTTTCTCCCTAACAATTTTACAATTCTTAATCTGATCAGCATTTTTGCCTGTCATAAGATCTGTTTTATATCACATCCGTAACAATTCTGCAGAGGTGCCCTGATGAACAATTGCAGAATCATAGAATTGCAGAATCATTTGAGTTGGAAGGCCACCTAGTCCAACTCCACTGCAATGAACAGGAACACTTACAGCTTGATCAGGGTGCTCAGAGCCCCATCCATCCTGACCTTGAATGTCTCCAGGGATGGGGCATCCATCTGGGCAGCCTGTTCCAGTGCTTCTTACACTTCTCATAAAATTCTTTTCTTATATCCAATCTAAATCACCTTTTTTTGTTTGTTTGTTTGAAATACTTTCCCTTGTCCTACCACAACAGATCCTGCTAAATTCTGTCCACTTCTTTCTTATAGCTCCCTTTTAGATACTGAAAGGCAGCTATCAGGTCTCTCCAGAGCCTTCTCTTCTCCAGGCTGAACAGCTCCAGCTCTCTCAGCCTGTCCTCATAGGGGAAGTGTTTCATCCCTCTGAACATTTTTTGGCCCTCCTCTAGTTCCTTTTAACAAGTCCATGTCTCTCCTGATGCCTGAATGTACCTGAATGCATTCATGAGTTTGAACTGGTAAAAATAATGGAGATATCTGAGTCTGGGATATAGTTTTCCAATCAGGTCACACCTGAAATGTGACCTGATTGATGAAATGAAACATCTTTGTATACTCTGTTAAATTTTACTTATCTCGTAATACCTGTTCTCACAGAAGTACAGTATTACTCATTCACAGCCTTTCTGTTGTGCTGGCTGCTCCAGCAGGGAGGTGCTTCATGAGTTGCCACTCATAAGCTGGGAAACACACTAGTCCAAACTCTTTATATAGCACTATGTACATTAGATTAATCTTAAATACAAATTGAAATGAGAGTGACAAGATATCATATAGCCATAATGGGAAATGTAAGGTAACTATAAATAAATAAGAAATAATACTGCTTTTGAAATATGTTGCACATCTTTTTGCTTCAAACAAATCTGTTGTCTGTGAATTTGATTTTGAACCTGAGTGAAGAAATGTTTTCCAAACTCTGAACAGTATTGACCTCTGATGGGCTCTTTGAAGCCGCTAGCTATGGGATTATCTGAAAACCATGTACTGCTCTGAGACAGGGAGACAGCAAAGATGCACTTAAATGATTTTTTCTGCAGTGCACTGTCAAAAAAAGGAGGGGGAGGAACAATTCATATTACCCACAGAACTGCAGATGATAAGGAAAGTCAATGTATTATGGTGTTATACAGGCTTTTAGGAAAGGAGACTTTTTTTCTCCTTTTTTTTTTCTTTTTTACCGTGCAGTGTTACACTGTAAGAATAGCACAGTGTTGAGTTTGATTTTCCCCCACAGTTTAATAACTTTTAAATATGGCATCATCATAAATGACTAGCTTATAAATTGAAAAGGAGGCCTGGAGAATAATTGTGATTAGTAGCCTACTTGTCTGGGTCTTCTGTTACTTTTTCAGGAGAGAATAAAAAGGAGTTTTTTCTCTTCTTTGCTCTTTCTTTGTCAAAAAGAAGAAGAGAGCAAACAAACAAGCAAGCAGAAAGGTTCCTTTCTTGGTACAATATTTCATCTCCATAGTAAATGATGATCTCTCTAAGTGGAATTACATGGTTAGCCTTCAAAAGTAAACAAAGGAACTTTGCTTACCTGGAAAATTTTCCATCTCACTTATTTCTAAAATCATATGAACACACAAATTTTCTTACATCTTAAATGTTTTTATTTGTGTACAAAATGTTATAATTTATCAATATTATGCAGCAAGGAATTGCACACATTCACACATACATTCCCTCCCCCCAACACATACACAGGTACAAATATAACACAAAAATCAACTTTCTTTCTCTCTGCCCTTCAGAAAGGCAACACTGTTTTGGCAGATCAGCAGCTAGAAATAAGGTGCTACAATTAAGCAGTATCAGAACATCTTCACTTTACCAATGTGATGTGCAAATTTATTTACAACCACATTTTTTTTTTTCCACAGAACTGAGAAGTTTATACCCTGAACACTTTCAAAGATACAAAGATGTATAAAGTGCTAATATTTAAGCATGTTTTCAATGACTTCACAACAGAGTTTGAAGTTTATAACAGGCACTGTAATAATTCACTAAGTGGGTTGTCACTTGGTGCAGTACTACAAAAAGAAAAGTCACTCAGACATCGCTAGGGGACCGGGAGCGAAAGGACACTTTAGACTGAAAGCAGCCACAGAAGAGAACCCACATGGACCTCTGAATTTCTTGGTTTCTGTAGGCATAAATAATAGGATTGATCATGGAGTTGTAAGTAGCAGGTAGAAGCGTGGCATAAGTGTACACGGAAGGGTAGTTGGGATCCCCAACCACACAGTAGATGGCAAAAGGTAGCCAGCTTGCTCCAAAAGTCCCAAGAATTATAGCAAGAGTAGACACTCCCTTTTTGGTAGCAACATAGTGTGATGCAGTCAGAAAATGTTGCTGGAGAGCTATCTGATGGGCATGTCTGCAAACTATTTTACAGATTTCAATGTAGAGATGGAGCATGATAATAAAAATGAGAAAGAAAGAGGCAGACAGCAGAGTCACGTTGCTCTTGGTCAAGGGTTTGACAACGCTGCAGGCAGCGTGGTCGTGGAGGCAGTTCCAGCCCAGGACTGGCAGCAGCCCCAGGCAGAGGGAGACTCCCCAGGTGCACACCAGCATAGTGTGGATACACAGCACCGTCCTCTCTGAGTAGTAGGTGAGAGCATTGTAGAGGGAGAGGTAACGGTCGACCGTGATGGCCAGCAAGCTACTCACAGAGGCGGTGAAGGAGGCAACGAGGAAACCCACGGTGAGGAGGCTGACCGTCTCAGAACGGATCACGTACTGGAAAACAAAGTTGAGGATGAGGCCGATCCCGGCCAGCAGGTCGGCAGTGGCCAGGCTCCCGATGAGCACAAACATGGGGGTGCGCAGGGTGGGCGAGTAGCAGATGATAGCCACCACGATGGCGTTCTCGCAGGCGATGGCGGTGCCAGAGACGCACAGCATCACGTCCCAGGGGTTGATGGCGGTGGGCGCGGGGGGTCGAGACGCCAGCTCCAGCGAGGCGTTGCCGGCGCGGGCGGGCAGCCAGGGGACCGCAGCCGAGCTCTCGTTCAGGACCGTCGTTGGCTCCATCGCCGCCGGGGCCGCCAGTGCAGGGCAGTAGTTGTGAGCGGAGGTGCGGCGGGGCGCGGGGCGCGCATACCGGGCGGGGCGCCGCCCTGTCCGTGGTGCCGACCACCTCTGTCCGTGGTGCTGAAGCGCTCTGTCCGCGGTGCTGAACAACGCAGCCCGCGGTGCCGCGCAGCTCTGCCCGTGCGCTGCTCCGCCGCTCGAAGTTTCCGCGCCGTCCCGGCCGCCGCCGATCCCCGCGCTCCGCTCGCTGCGGCTTCGGCGGCGGCTTTGGCGGGAGCGGGCGGCCGACGGGGCGGGCCGGGCAGCGCGGGGCTGACGTAAATGGCGGCCCGCCGCCGGGGGCAGGGCGCTCGCCACCGGCCCGCCGCCGGCTCCTGAAGGGGCGGGGGCAACCGCCGCCGGGGGCGGGAGCGGCTCGGCGGGAGGCGGGGTGTGGAGCGCGGGCCCGCCGTCGGGGTTGGCGGGCGCTAACGGGTCGGACCCGCGCGGTGCCGGCGTGCTGAGAGCGGGCCCCACACGGCGTTCGTGCGGGGGAAGAGGCGCCGAGGGCTTCAGAGTGCAGTCCTGGGTCGGAGGTTCTTCACTGTCGCAGTGAAAAAGAGACGCGTTTAATCACAGCTCCCTTCCAGCTCTGCCATCTCATGAATGTAAAGAGGCAGCAGTGAGGTCGTCCTGGTGTTCCCTCTCGTATTCCTTGCATCCCGTTTTTCACAGCTCTTGTGTAGGAGTGCTCTCAGTCCCGCACTCTGAAAGATTCAGCACAGAGCTGGACTGGGGCTGTGGGAACACAGGAATGAACACTTGCTGTTGCGGCTTGCTCAGGAGGAAAAATGTTCCTCCTGTCTTGTATTTCCCTCTATTTTTTTGTCAGGACAGTTCCCTGCTTCGAAAACTAGCTGCAGTGTGTTTATAGGAAGAATATGGTGAGTTTTACTTCTGTGCTGCACTCACTATACTGTCTCAGAACCTGTCTGTGAGCTTTGTGAGCTGTTGAATATAAATGTTGAAGAATAGTACTCAAAATTGCTGTACAAGAGAACCCTTACCCCAGAGTTAGCAGTCTGTTTACGGGCACAAGCACCTGTACTGCCTTCCAAGGTATCTTCTCTGAAGTATCTTAATAGACAAAACCAAGAGTAACTACATACTCCATGCCTTGCACTACCACAGCCAATAGCAAACACATGCAGCAGGCAATCTGTCTGTGACAGAGTGGCTTTTTTTGTTATTAAGGGAACAAGCCAAAAGGTACCCAGGTCTGGAAGAACATGTCCTATACCTACTAGTCAGAAGAATGTGGAAATACAATTACATCTTGGTTATTGGAACACCATGCAAACCATTTAGACACAATTTTGAAAAAAAATCATTAGAAGAAAATGTGCTTACTGCTTTTGACAGTCCAAATGAATAAGGCACACAGGCCTTGCCACATTAAAAGCGAACACTTTTCAAGGGAATTAGAATGTCAGCTTTCATTACATCCAATACTGATTTGCATTCTGAAGGATAAATACTATTATCCAGACAACCTGTGGACACTTTGTATTTCTGCAGACAAACCAAAGCATTTCTTCCAAGGATTTCTCAAACACAGAGTCTCAGATAATTTAGTTTAGAAGGGTCTGGTCTGTGCTATCTTCAAGGATTTCATTTGGTCATGTCTGAATATCTTTGAGGAAGATTGGGCAGCTTCTCCAGGGAACCTGTGCCCAGGCTTCACCCTCACTATAAATACTATGTTTTCTTTTGTGTAATTGGAATTTCCTTTAATATAACTTGTGCACACAGCCCTTCCTCCCTTATAGTGTCCCACACATTCTACTACGCCTAAGCAAGTGTTACAATATCATTTATAACTGCAGCAAACTTGCTGCCAAAAGGTTTAATAAAGATTTGCACATCAACATGGCTAAAGCACTTAGTCATGTACCCCCACTACAGTATAGAAAATATAGTGTTACCTTATTCCTTTTTGCCATATAGAGGACAAGATGCATATGTCAACATCAGCTTGGACTGAAACTAAGACTGAGAGCACTGGCATACTACTGCAGTAATGGATGCTACAGAGGAGAGTGACAGGAGGCAAAGTAACATCTGAGGTAGAGTACAGATTTGGAATTCCTCAGAGGAAATCCTTCAGTCTAGTCCCAAATAGATGGCTTATTGTGACATGAATTAAAATGACTACAACAGAATAAATTACTCCAAACAAATTTCAATGTGGATTTTAAAAGATACTATTCAAACTTAGCAGGTAGGTTTGCAAATATGAACCAGGCAGGTTCCAAAGAAAAACAGCAAAATCTGCAGCACTTTGTGGCATTTATAAAACGAAGAGAGAAACATGTAATTCATTTGCTTTTTGGTATTGAAATGGGGTGTGAAACTTCTTGGTTGTAGGTGATCTGTCCAATCTTTGTACAAACTATTACTTCTGGGAAACAGATGTGTGACAGATACTTTCTGTAGTAGTCTGCATGTTATGAAAGTGTGAGAGTCCAAAGGAGGTCTACGAAGATGGGAAAGGGTCCGAAGAACAAAATGCGTAAGGAGCAGCTGAGGTCCCGTGGTTTGTTTGGCCCAGAGAAGAGGAAGCTGAGGATATTCTGAGTTCATCAGGCTTTTTACCCCATGTATTTCTCTAGATTTTAACCCTTTCAAAAGGAAGATATTTTTACAGCCTGTGTTATGTTCTTATGCACTGCATTTTGTGAGCACTGCTCCGCATCTTTCCCAGCCAAATTCTTCAGAGTGCCAAGTGTCATTTGGGATAAATATTGACCAACTCCTACTTTAATAAATGGTTATATTTCTCCAGGAATTATGATTCCTGAACTATTGCTAAAGATCTTTTATCTTCCTAGTGCAGTTTCTTGCATCAGTCATTCCAAGATCACTCATCAGAAGGCAAGCCTCTGCTGTGGTCTTAATTTTAATTGTTTGTAGTAAGAAGGGGATTCAAAAAGTAGGTAAAGATGTCATAAAACAGTCATGTTTTGAGCCAAGTGCATTTCATTACAGAAAACTTAATAATATTAAGTTGCAGTAGGCAGTCATTCAGAATAGCAGTTAGCCTATAGAGGAAACAGAAACAAAACATTTCCTTACTCCTTAAGGTTATCCCACAGGCAAAAGGAGGGTGACTACATGTAGGGTATAAATGAGGTTCTCCCACTGGTTTTTCCTGCAGTTACATTCATTTAATATGTCAATATAAGAGCAGTGGAGAGAGAAGATAAATGTCTCACATTATTATCAAAAAGTGTTTCACCTTGACTTCCTACCTGAGACTGGATCCACAGATGTCATGGGAGAATCTAAAAAAAAAAAAAAAAAGCTATGTTCTGACAGTACACACCTATACAGAATGTATAATATAATTAAAGATTTATCTTAGAAATTTTCTGAAAATATAACAGAATTAAAATTAAAAAGTTGCTGAAATAAATGGCCTAAAAATCTTTGCTTGAATTCTTCCATCTGTTCTTAAAGCTGAGCAATATTGCAGTGTAATTTTAATGTGATTACTTAATTTCAGTTAACTATGGATTATTTTGATAGCTGATATTCTTTAATGATTAATAAGTAGGCTGACTAAATGTTAAGTATTATTAAACGTGCTTTACATAGCATGAGTTAGAACAAAAAAGCCCTTCAAAAATTTATCTTTCCAATAACATGCTGAAAATATTTAGGAGTCATTTTTCTTCTGGCAACATAAAGAAACCTTAAAATAAAAGAGGGAAGAGAGAGTGGGGATAACACAGATGGTAAACTAAGCAGTGCTGACATTTTAGAGATTTCTATACAGCTGGTGTGAAAAGATGTTTTAAACACTTAGGAATGCATTTAGGCACATCTTCAAGTTTATCAGTTTCCTGACTTGGCAAACTCAGCCATATCACCTGGTATTGCTGGTGATCTCATTAACATTACTCCTATCTGACTGGTCAGATTTAGGCAGATGTCCACCTGCAAACACTTTGCGTTACAAAAACTACTGACAAAATGAACTGCAGAGAGATTTGGCTGACTTTTATAATTTAAATTTGATCCTCCATAATTCTTTTACTTCCACAGATTCTGGTTCTTGACTATGCTTCTTGCTGAGAATGCACTGTATCTCCTTTTTGACCAGTCTTCAGCTGCTTGTCTTCTTGGGCCTTTACCAAGGTAAGATCTAGGGAAGTCAGTCCATTAGCATGCCTGTAAATTATTTTGCTTGTGTGGTGGTGCTGTACATGAGCACAGAAACACAACTTTGACGCTTTTAGTAGCATGTGCTAGGGATGAAAGTCTTCTCTTATTCAGTTGCATTTACAAATCTGTGTTTCCTCTATAGATTTTGTGGGAACTTTTACTATGTTGTTCAGTCTCTGAATCTCTAGCAGAAAAGAAAGGGATAAGTATCACATATACAGGTTATACCTGCTTTACATAGTGCAATAAATGCTTAATGTCAAGTTTCAGATTGAAACTTAGGTTGAAACCTGAGGAGTTCTTGAACTATCATGTGTTGTTTTTTTTTTTCATTAAGAAGAAAATGTAACTGTGGTTATGTGCAAAAATATAGAAGCACAGGTAACACTTCCAAGAGGTTTAATTAATGGTTCTCAAAGGGCTTTACAACAGCTTAAAGCCCTGTGACAGCAGTAGTGTCCTGGAAGCATCACAAGTCACCATTAAAACTTCCAGGTAAACAGAATTTTTATCTCTTAAACTTACTCTTCTAGAAACTTAAGGTACTACTGACTGAACAAAGTGTCAGAAATAGTCTAGGTAGCACAGAAGAAACAGAGAAAGGACAGACATGAATTTTCATTAGTTCTTCCAGGTGGACGCACACTTAGAGTTATTCGGGTTCTCAAATCAACATTTCAAATATATTTTACACAAGCTGTATGCAAGTTGAAAGCTCACACAGTCACCCACTTCTTTATCTTGGACTAGACTGTCTAAGAGTGTGTATCACTGAATACTATACATATATATGTATGCTTTCAGTGTGTGTGTATATATATATTATATATATATATATGAGTGTAATCACTGAAATACAAAATATCTCTTTCAGTCATTTCTACTTCTGCTAGTCCACCAGGTGTGTCTTCTCCTCCATTCCCTTTGTGTGCTGGGCTGTTATTTCCCCTAGCCTTCCCTATTCTTGCCCCATCCCACTAGTTTTGGGAGCCGCTGGG